AATACGTAATGTAGTCTCATATTAAAGTTTGTATTGGTACAGTGACCCCTCATGATTCAGTCGCCAGTGGGAACGTGATTTATCAAAGTATCAGGACTTATCAAGATTGAACAGACAGACTGGATAACTTTCAATTAAAGAGTGTCGTCACCTGTCGTCCCAAACGACGATAACAACACACACTAAAAACGCAAAGACTCATGGGTAGATGCTTGTTTGTAAACAATGACACTCTATGGCCATCTGACACAGGTGCAGGTGACGACTCCACCACTTTAACATGCTGCTCAGTTTGAAATTGGAGATCTGAGTAGTGGATTATTTACACTGCGATGAATTTTTTAGGTCTTTATTAAAACAGTACCAGTTGCAAGTTAGCACCTTGGGTCAAGCCACCAACACCTTTTGTATCCTAGTAACTGATGAGGCAATGGATGTTAAATACTGATAACATCGACATGGTCTGAAAAACATCAACACTGATGGTCTCACACCAACTCCTAAGGGGCTAATTAAACAGCTAATTCTAGCTCAATAGTGTTCAGTACATATGTCAAAGATGTAGGCGGGGAAGCATGTACGGATGTATAGATGTCGATCCATAAATTAGTTTTTGACATATTTTACATGCGTCGTAAACGTCTATTAATATTAAATACAACAGGGTGTATGAACAACATTGCTGGCTGAAAAGGCAATGGTTGTCTCACCATGTCATGTTTGATATGGGTACCATGCAACATATACAATTTATGTATCATGCAGTGTTTGTTTGAATAATATTCAAATGAAAGAAATGAACAAGAAGTAAAAGTCTATGTACATGCTCCTAGGCAACAATATTTCAGCAAATAGGAACCGAATACTAAATGAATTGTCTGCTATGTTCCTGGGTTTGCCAGTGTCTATTTTATAATGAATGAAGTGAGCATGAATAAAGAGCATTACACTACAGTATCATACACTAAAACAGACACATTAGATCAGTGAAATGTCTATGAATGCACCCCCCTCCCCGAAAGAATTGGAAAACTGTTACGAATGCACCCCCTCCCCAAAGAATTAGAAAACTGTTATGAATGCACCCCCCTCCCCAAAGAATTGGAAAACTGTGCATACCTCATTAATGTGACTCTCCCCAAAATGCTCATCAACTCTAGACTGACTTAGGTCTGCTAATACTGCATCAGTTGTTGGTATCATTAGAGATGGTGACATTCTATCAATATTATCAAAAGATTGTTGTACTTCATCTGCAGTACCATGCTGGATCCTTTGATGTTCTTCTTCTTTTCTTCTCTGTTAATAAGTCATTGAAAAATGACACAGTCCCTGTTAGTACGGACTGACAGAACCCAAAACAAAAGTCCCTGTTACATACTACATCCGAGGGGGACTAACAAATCATCATTATGGTAACAATACTAAGAAGAAGCACAGACAAAGCAAATCCAAGAAAGCTTAGAAAGAACTCCCATGTGCTGAGAGTATTGGAGACACATTAAATATAATTTGAAATTACTTAGCTGAAAACTAATTATGCAAATCAGAAAATTATTATGAACAGATTTGATTGTAAAACTAATGAGGTCTGCGCAATGTAACAAAAACTCCATGTACCAAGTTTAATTGAAAAGTGATTAGAACCAAAAAATTATGAATTATTATGCTAATTAGGGAAATAATATGAACAGAGTTTTACCCCAAACTAATTAGGTTTGTACATTGTCCTAGAGCATCTTTGTACTAAGTTTCATTCAAATGGAAATTAGTACTTTAGATATCAGTGTGAAAGCTTAAAATTGGTTAATTATGTAAATTGGGTAATTAATATGTACAGATTTTAACCCACAATTATCCAGGTCTGTCTATTGTCCTACAGCATCCATGTATAAACATTCATTGATATGTGATGATT